CAATAGTTTTCTGTGTGTCATGTTTAGATCAAAATGCAGCATTAACCACTTAGTAAAAAACGAGTAACTCTGGCGCACAGGAGTCAAGTAGTGTAAGGGTGAAAAGGATAAAAATTATAAAATGTATAAAGCAAAATATGATAATGGGACTATTGGCATACAAGTACTTAAACAGGGTATGTAAATGCATTGGTGTACAATAAGTCCTTATAAGAGTCTCTCAGGCAATCTGCCTGGAATCTTTTTAGCACAAAAAGAAGGCAGCCATCCTTGGAGCAAACCAGCTCTGTATGCAGGGACAGAAGAAAAGAGACTGGAGGTGCCCATCTGAGTGTAGTAATAACATTGTATTTCATAGCAAAGGATTAAAAACACTCACAAAGGAAGTAATAAACAAGATCATCTGTGTATACGAGAGATGACCATTCCTCAAAACATCCTGCAGGCGCCTCCGGTTGTTAGTGCAATAGCAGCTGGGCTAATAGAAATGGTGAGAGACGCTGTAGTGGTCAATCCTACAGAGGCTACAACGCAGCCGTCTACCAGGAGATTTTGGAGCACTTCATGCTTCCTTCCACAGACAAGCTTTATGGGGTTGCTGACTTCATTTTCCAGCAGGACTTGGCACCTGCCCACACTGCCAAAAGCACCAAAACCTGGTTCAATGACCGTGGGATTACTGTGCTTGATTGGCCAACAAACTCGCCTGACCTGAACCCCATAGAGAACCTATGGGGCATTGCCAAGAGAAAGATGAGAGACATGAGACCGAACAATGCAGAAGAGCTGAAGGCCGCTATTGAAGCATCCTGGTCTTCCATAAACACCTCAGCAGTGCCACAGGCTGATAGCATCCAAGCCATGCCGCATTGAGGCAGTAATTGCTGCAAAAGGGGCCCAAACCAAGTACTGAGTATATATGCATGCTTATACTTTTCAGAGGTCCGATATTGTTCTATGTACAATCCTTGTTTTATTGATTGCATGTAATATTCTAATTTTCTGAGATTGTGGATTTGGGGTTTTCATGAGCTGTAAGCCATAATCACAATTATGACAAATCACGGCTTGAACTATCTTTGCATGTAATGAGTCTATATCATATATTAGTTTCACTTTTTAAGTTGCATTACTGAAATAAATGAACTTTTGCACAATATTCTAATTTTTCAAGTTTCACCTGTATATGTGTATATATATATATATATATATATATATGTGTGATTTTTCACAGCCCTGCCGCCGTGTAACAGTATTTGTACTATAGGGAGGTGGGGAAGCAGTTGATTCTGTGTTCCAGAGCAGTATGATATCATGCAACGTGTTTCTATAATATCGCACTGTTCTACTCAGTCCTGTATGTTACTACACAGAAGTGCAGCTCACAGGGCTTCTGTGAAGTTGTAGACCAGCATGGGCTAGTGGAAATCCCAGTACTCCTTTATTTAAAACAGGATTAAAAAACAAGTGTCCTTCTTTCCTTATATGTTTCAGCTCTGTGTGGGCCATAGACAACACAGGGCTAGACACTTGTCATTTTTTAATCCTGTGTTAAATAAAGGAGTATTGGTATTCCACCAGCATGTTCTGGTCTACAGCTTCACATTGCTATTGTGGCTGTCAGGAGCCTCCGGAGCAGTAAACACTTACACTGGACCTATATGGACTTTCAGATTGAGCAGCTGCTGCTGTTTAGTTGTGTTGCACAGGGTTCTGTGCAGTGATATGAAGTGTCTGTTTGTACAATTCAAATAACGTTTGATTTTTTTTTTTTTCAAAAAAGGTTAGCGGTGTGATGCAATTAAACATGCATTACACCATCCCCTGCCCCCCTGCTCTGCAGCCCAAAACGCTGTGTGGGCAGTAGAAGTTTGGGCTGCAGGTCAGTGTGAACGTACCCATATACAAGATTGTGGTAGATGTCCAGACTGACACAGTACAACAGGGGTGTCAGACTGGTGGCCCTTCAGCTGTTGCAAAAACTACAAGTCCCATTATGCGTCTGCCTTTGGGAGTCATGCTTGTAACTGTCAGTCTTGCAATGCCTCATGGGACTTGTAGTTTGGAAACCGCTGGAGGGCCACCAGTTTGACACCCGTGCAGTACAACTTCTGTATCACATTGACATTACAAAGCATCATTCGTCTTTTATAACTGTTTTATTTTTGTATTGCTACTGTTGTATATAATTTGTAAGCTGATTTGTATTTGTCATTTTTGCAGTCACGGATATTGTAAATGTATATATAAATGCCAGTATTTCCGCTTATTTTGTATTTGTATAATAATATTTTCTAGATGTCCTGTGGTGTGTCAGTTGGTTGCTGTCATTGGGTATTTTACAATAACTAAATAAATAAATAAAAAACACAAAGATCAACAGCTAGCAATGACATCTGACTGATTTCATGCCTGGGCTTTGGAAAAATGTAGAGCACAGCAAGATGTACTGTTATTATCACAACATGCACTCACTTCAAAGCTGAGCAACTGGTGGCTCAAGGTGCTGTTTTGATTAGTTGCGGAAATAACTATCCGGTTGTATAGGAACATACACCCTAGCAGTCACAACTATGACCAGCCTTGGGGAAGCTTTTAAGTGAAGGCAACACTACACAGTCTATTTAGTAAATCAATTCAGAGAACAGCAATGATAACAGCTAATCCAATTTCAAGTTTCAGTTTTTACAGCAATGCTTGTTGATGCTGATTGGTCATGACTGGCTATTAAGCATTGTACGTTATTACTGTTACTGTCTATTGCACTGACATGCTAAAAAATCCTAAATTATGACTTCTATAACAAAGCAGTGAAGAAATGGTGATTTGCAAAGTGCAATAATCCATAACAAATAATTAGACTTCAGCTTTATTATTTATAGTCTGATGAATGGAATAACATGTCTCATTATTTGATTTGGGGTTACTGCCTTTTGTAATTCTTTAATAAATAACACTTTAGACAAAACTGTATTTCATATAAAAGCAATGGAAAAAGTGCAACAACAAAACAGACATTAGCTTTTTTGCGCACTGCTATAATCTAAGTTGTCAAAGATACATTTGAATTGTTTGCTGTAAGGAATATAATCATTATATATGTGTTCAATTTATTTTTAAATAACTTTTTGTCAACCAGGACATTTCTGGCAATACAAATGTACTGAAAATATTGAATTCTTAAGACTTGTCACATGCAGGCAGCTAACTGAGAAGATAGCATATTTTATGTAATGTTTTCAGATTTTTAAAAAATTTAATTTAATATGCAGTTTATAGATAATGCAGTCATTCATATTCATGGCCAACTGTCATTCATATTATATCCATTTTGATTTCAACCTGGCTGTGCCAGATTGCTTATATCTAATGTAGTTTGTGTGTGATCATCTTTGCAGTAACTCAATGACTCATTTGATGAACTCTTTATATGCAGTTTCACATGGCCTTGCTATCCCAGTGTTCATCTTTTGGACTGGGTTATAAACTGATATATTACTTCTACTTGCTGTTCACTATGCAGGACTATCATTATACAGAATATTTGCAAATAAGGCACGTACAAATCTCTCTATAGTCCAGTTGCATGTCATCTTGAAATTATAACTAGATCCAAGAACAAAAAAAATCTAATGGCAGCTTACCAGTTCTTAGATGCGAAGGCTGCATTTGTTCCAGGCTAACTATGATTCCTGCAAAAACAGAAACATTCCTGTAGATACTGATAGAAATCCAGTATCTACATAATTTTTTGTGTACCTGCACTCCCCTGGGGATCCTTGAGCACCAAGTGAAAATAAAAGGTAAAGAGAACCTTAACCACTTGCCCTCCAGAGGATTTATCCCCATTCCTGACCAGGCCATTTTGTTGCGTTACGGCGCTGCGTTACTTTAACTGACAATTGCGTAGTCATGCAAACACTGCACCCAAATGAAATTTACATCCTTTTTTCTCACAAATAGAGATTTATTTTGGTGGTATTTGATTGCCTGTGCATTTTGTATTTTTTTGTGTTATAAAAAAAAAACTATATTTTTTTGACATTTTTTTTCTATTAAACATGTCCAGTAAAAAAAAAATAAACAAAATAAAATTTCATCATAAATTTAGGCCAAAATGTATTCTTCTACATGTCTTTGCTAAAAAAAATCCAAATACATGTAAGATAATTGGTTGACATGAAAGATATAGCGTTTACAAATGGCTGTATACATACTGGAATTTTTCTTTTTTGTAGTAGTGATGGCAGCGATCAGCGACTTATAGCAGGGACTGCGGCGGGCATTCTGGGGGGAACTGACTTGGTGTCACTGACATCCCCAGTGACACCAATACAGTGATCAGTGCTAATATAAAAAGCACTGACACTGTACTAATTGCACTGGGCAGGAAGGGGTTAACAAAGGGTTAACTATGTGCTGTTTCACAGTAAGCGGTGTCTGTGCCTTCAACTATAAGCACACTGCTATGCAAAGCCATACAAAGCAGTGTGCTGGAGCTGACAGGAGAGAGAATTGTATTGCTTACATACAGTTCTCTCCCCCTGATGGTATAACTCGGTGATCACCGGTTGCTGGTGAGTAATCACCGTCCAGGACCTGGTGATTGATAGCTGAAGCCATGAATAGTGGCGCGGGTAGGGTGTGCACTCGGCTCAGACACGCCCCTACCCGGAAATGAACACTCTTTTATACGTGGTTTTGCGCACCTCTGCCGCACTGTAGCAATATTTCTACTATAGGGTGGCGGGAAAGAAGTTAAAAAACTCCCAAAAGTAATGCAACCCTTACATCTAAAGATTGGTACATTCAATGTATTTTAATTTTGTTTTTAAGTACACACTGGTTTGTATACTTTGTTTAACACCACATTTACTTATAAAAGCTGTTCATTCAAAAGGAAAAAAATATTTAGCTTGTTATTCTTCAATTATGTTGTTAATTTGCTATTGTTAATTCTCCATTTATCTACTCTACTTAGGCTACTTAAAGCAGAAATTAAAAATAACAAAAAAATGAAAAGCTCATTAAGGATAAAATAAAATCAAGCCAAATTAATTTGTGAACAAATGCAATGTTGCCCTAAAAGTTGCCTGTGTTTATATACAATTTGACTAATTAGTGCATCTTGTGCACACCCTCTGCTACCACACAAAATTTGGTATAGCTTCAGGATCGTACAACGAAAGAAAAAAATAGACAAAGCAGGTTTTGTTTTGAAAAAGAAAAAGAAAATGGATAGCTTGTTATCTGAGAAACAATATTCACAATCATTGTGCAGTGGATGGACAGTAGGTAAGTGGCTTTATGTAAGATTTAGAAATAATGTAGATCATATCTACAAATAAACATCAGAGGAATACTTAAGAGAAAATAGCTACCTATATTAAAAAATAAACAGTAAAAAAACTGTTTCATTAGGCCGCAATTAGAGATGAACGAATCGAAGTATCCGAAGTGGAATTCGAGTCGAATATCGGAAAAATTTCGAATCCGAAAAACAGCCTAATTCGGACGACGCCGCGAATCGAAATTTTTCCGAAAATGGCGGCTGACATGTGCGGCGAGCGGAGCGGGGGATGTCGGGGAAGGGCGCGCAGACAAGGCACGCGCTGCCCCATAATGCATTCCTCAACGACATGTGATCGCATCAGCCAATCAGCAGCCTAGCCAGCCAGCACTGTGTAATGGTCGAGGTATATATAGCGACCATTTTGGAAATCTTCATTTGCCTGCAGTCATTGAACAGAGGCAGGACCGCTCTGTACTAGGGACAGGGACAGAGTTAGGGCCACAGAAACGAGAATTGGGGACAGAGAGAAGTTACTTAGGGACAGAGAACCATTACTCAGGGACACAGACTTGTTAATGAGGGCCACAGAATCGTTATTTAGGGGGACAAAGAAACGCTAGTTAGGGCCACAGAATTCATACTCAGGGACAGACAGAATTTTCACTCCAGTGCCAGAGAATTGTTACTTTTAGGGCCACACAGAAACGTTATTAGTTACTAGGCCACAGAATTTTTACTCTCAGGGACAGACAGGAATTGTTACTGAGTGCCAGAGAATTGTTACTCAGGACAGACAGAATTGTTACTGAGTGCCAGAGAATTCTTACTCAGGGGAGTCCACAGAATTCATACTCAGGGACAGACAGAATTGTTTCTGCTGGGACAGGACAGAATTGTTACTGAGTGCCAGAGAATTGTTACTCAGGGACAGACAGAATTGTTACTGAGTGCCAGAGAATTGTTACTCAGGGACAGACAGAATTGTTCTGAGTGCCAGAGAATTGTTACTTCAGGGACAGAGAGAATTGTTACTGGAGTGCCAGAGAATTGTTACTCGCACAGACACAAAATTGTTACTTGCACAGACACAGAATTGTTACTCGCACAGACAGAATTGTTACTCTGGGCCACAGAATTCATACTCAGGGACAGACAGAATTGTTACTGAGTTGCCAGAGAATTGTTACTCAGGGACAGACAGAATTGTTACTGAGTGCCAGAGACTTGTTACTCAGGGACAGAACAGAATTGTTACTGAGTGCCAGAGAATTGTTACTCAGGGACAGACAGAATTGTTACTGAGTGCCAGAGAATTGTTACTCGCACAGACACAAAATTGTTACTTGCACAGACACAGAATTGTTACTCGCACACAGACACAGAATTGTTACTCAGGGCCACAGAATTCATACTCAGGGACAGACAGAATTGTTACTGAGTGCCAGAGAATTGTTACTCAGGGACAGACAGAATTGTTACTGAGTGCCAGAGAATTGTTACTCAGGGACAGACAGAATTGTTACTGAGTGCCAGAGAATTGTTACTCGCACAGACACAAAAATTGTTACTTGCAGTCAGCCACACAGAATTGTTACTCGCACAGACACAGAATTGTTACTCGCACAGACACACAGAATTGTTACTCAGGGCCACAGAATTCATACTCAGGGACAGACAGAATTGTTACTGAGTGCCAGAGAATTGTTACTCAGGGACAGAACAGAATTGTTACTGAGTGCCAGAGAATTGTTACTCAGGGACAGACAGAATTGTTACTGAGTGCCAGAGAATTGTTACTCGCACAGACACAAATTTGTTACTTGCACAGACACAGAATTGTTACTCGCACAGACACAGAATTGTTACTGAGTGCCAGAGAATTGTTACTCAGGGACAGACAGAATTGTTACTGAGTGCCAGAGAATTGTTACTCAGGGACAGACAGAATTGTTACTGAGTGCCAGAGAATTGTTACTCGCACAGACACAAAATTGTTACTTGCACAGACACAGAATTGTTACTCGCACAGACACAGAATTGTTACTGAGTGCCAGAGAATTGTTACTCAGGGACAGACAGAATTGTTACTGAGTGCCAGAGAATTGTTACTCAGGGACAGACAGAATTGTTTACTGAGTGCCAGAGAGAATTGTTACTCGCACAGACACAAAATTGTTACTTGCACAGACACAGAATTGTTACTCGCACAGACACAGAATTGTTACTCAAGTGCACAGAGAATGTTACTCAGGGACAGACAGAATTGTTACTGAGTGCCAGAGAATTGTTACTCTTTAGGGACAGACAGAATTGTTACTGAGTGCCCAGAGAATTGTTACTCAGGGACAGACAGAATTGTTACTGAGTGCCAGAGAATTGTTACTCGCACAGACACAAAATTGTTACTTGCACAGACACAGAATTGTTACTCGCACAGACACAGAATTGTTACTCAGGGGCAGACAGAATTCATACTCAGGGACAGACAGAATTGTTACTGAGTGCCAGAGAATTGTTACTCAGGGACAGACAGAATTGTTACTGAGTGCCAGAGAATTGTTACTCAGGGACAGACAGAATTGTTACTGAGTGCCAGAGAATTGTTACTCGCACAGACACAAAATTGTTACTTGCACAGACACAGAATTGTTACTCGCACAGACACCAGAATTGTTACTGAGTGCAGAGAGTTGTTACTCAGGGACAGACAGAATTGTTACTGAGTGCCAGAGAATTGTTACTCAGGGACAGACAGAATTGTTACTGAGTGCCAGAGAATTGTTACTCAGGGACAGACAGAATTGTTACTGAGTGCCAGAGAATTGTTACTCGCACAGACACAAAATTGTTACTTGCACAGACACAGAATTGTTACTCGCACAGACACAGAATTGTTACTCAGGGCCACAGAATTCATACTCAGGGACAGACAGAATTGTTACTGAGTGCCAGAGAATTGTTACTCAGGGACAGACAGAATTGTTACTGAGTGCCAGAGAATTGTTACTCAGGGACAGACAGAATTGTTACTGAGTGCCAGAGAATTGTTACTAGCACAGACACAAAATTGTTACTTGCACAGACACAGAATTGTTACTCAGGGCCACAGAATTCTTACTCAGGGACAGACAGAATTGTTACTGAGTGCCAGAGAATTGTTACTCGGGACAGACAGAATTGTTACTGAGTGCCAGAGAATTGTTACTCAGGGACAGACAGAAAATTGTTACTGAGTGCCAGAGAATTGGTTACTCGCACAGACACAAAATTGTTACTTGCACAGACACAGAATTGTTACTCGCACAGACACAGAATTGTTACTCAGGGCCACAGAATTCATACTCAGGGACAGACAGAATTGTTACTGAGTGCCAGAGAATTGTTACTCAGGGACAGACACAGAATTGTTACTGAGTGCCAGAGAATTGTTACTCAGGGACAGACAGAATTGTTACTGAGTGCCAGAAGAATTGTTACTCAGGGACAGACAGAATTGTTACTGAGTGCCAGAGAATTGTTACTCAGGGACTCCCGAGACAGAATTGTTACTGAGTGCCAGAGAATTGTTACTCGCACAGACACAAAATTTGTTACTTGCACAGACACAGAATTGTTACTCGCACAGACACAGATTGTTACTCAGGGCCACAGAATTCATACTCAGGGACAGACAGAATTGTTACTGAGTGCCAGAGAATTGTTACTCAGGACAGACAGAATTTGTTACTGAGTGCCCAGAGAATTGTTACTCGCACAGACACAAAATTGTTACTTGCACAGACACAGAATTGTTACTCGCACAGACACAGAATTGTTACTCAGGGCCACAGAATTCATACTCAGGGACAGACAGAATTGTTACTGAGTGCCAGAGAATTGTTACTCAGGGACAGACAGAATTGTTACTGAGTGCCAGAGAATTGGTTACTCAGGGACAGACAGAATTGTTACTGAGTGCCAGAGAATTGTTACTCAGGGACAGACAGAATTGTTACTGAGTGCCAGAGAATTGTTACTCGCACAGACACAAATTGTTACTTGCACAGACACAAGAATTGTTACTGCGCACAGACACTGAATTGTTATCGCACAGACACAGAATTGTTACTCAGGGCCACAGAAATTCATACTCAGGGACAGACAGAATTGTTACTGAGTGCCAGAGAATTGTTACTCAGGGACACCTAATCGTTGAATTAAATAGTATGTCAGACAAAATGCAGAGGGTAAGTGGCAGAGGAGGCAATGTTTTAGGAGCGAAGCAGACGTGGCAGCAGAGGAAGGGGTCGAGGCAGCAGTATTCGCAGCCAGAGGCCAGTGCTCCCGGTGTCATCCAGCGGTCGTGTCTCCACGACAACCCTGCCGTCATTGATTGGTTGGCTCGGTCGTCTTCCTCTTCCCAGGTCACCTCTGACACCTACAGCCAAACGGTCGGTGGGGGTACGTCAGACACAAACCGTTAGTTGGGCATGGCCCGGGAGCAAGCCCACTGAATTCACGTGTCCTCTACCTGCCCCTGTCCTTTGCTGTTCCCTCACCAGCGATGAAGTATCGCATGCTGTGGGCTCAGCACCACTGTACAGTGAGGAAGAGCTAACAGAGGGCGGGTCAGGAACGGGGGGAGACATCGGCCTTTTCAGCAGCCGCAAAGCGAACAAAGTACTGGCGAGGAGAGTGGCTCGGTAGCCGGTCTAGAGACAGGTCTGTCTCCTGACCCAGACGCAGCCGAGGGGGCTATAGTAGTGAGGCGGAGACCTACTTGATGATGAGGAGGTTGATCGCACTTGGCAGCCTCGTCGTCATCAGGCAAATTCTTCCGCATCATCTCAGGAGAGAGAGGTGGTGGCA